AAAGTTGAACGCATATTGAATGAGGTTGAGAGATTTTGGGTGGGTATGGGAGGATTTGGATTGAAAATTGAACCAGTTAGAATTGGTGCAGGCAAGGGTGACTGTTGTTTATTGGTAGGATGCCAGGGATTTCAAACAGGCAATATTGGAGAGTTTGAAGTGGGTGGGCAATGGCCATAAGACGCCATTGTCCAAGGGATTGGGGCTGACATCAAATTACACAACATATGATTGGATTGTTGTATGACTAATCAAAGATTATGTACAAGTCTTTTTGACTCCTACCTAGAGAGCCTCATTTCAGTCAATGAAGATAATGGGAACGCTTTGGTGGTTTTCCAGGAGGTACTAGCCATTCTAAGGTCTATCCAGATCTTCAAATGCCTCATCAATTTAGTGATCAGGGAAGGGATCAATGTTGAAGGAGAGGGAATTCAATTGTCTTGAAGGATGGAGAAATGATCAAGAAGAAATCATAAGCAAGTCTAACATCAGCTTGGGGACTGATGAATTATTTGTGAATGATGTCATGATTTGATTTCAATCATAGTCAAACGCAACTTAGAGCCCCAGAGTATCCAATCCACAGAGGGCATCAAGGCCATTTATGATGAGACATGATCATGTACAGCACCTCTCAAATTGAGCCATTATTCATATATTAAAAATCCGACTAGCTCACTGGAGGCAGGTGAAGAAGTACAGCTCCCAATATTGTCACATCTGCAGCACAGATTTTGTGCCAAGATGTGATTTATTTACAATACCTTTTTGCTGAACTATTCCTTTGGGCACATTAAGAAAGTGGTGTGGCTCATCTTGGTGATGCAGGTGTGTTTTTGTTCTACACTCCTCACTTGCAGCCCTGGTTGACCTTAGATCACCAGGCCACAGCGCACTTACACTCTCTGGCCATTTTTTTGTGGGTTGTTGCTTAGGGGGAGTCTGCGCTAGCAAGAAAGCTTTAAGCAGCACATGGTCTAGAAGGATCTAATGCATGTAGCCTCCTACTGATCATATAATTTGTCTCCTTTGAACATTGTTCAGCAATGATCTGCTGTTGTGATATGGACAGTTCCAATAATAGGGCAGTTCACGTTGCACCAAAAATGCTGCTGATGTAGCACAAGGTTTGTTTGCTGATGCACAAACTTTGTGAACTTTTATTGTGGGATTTAGACTCCAAAGGGGAGTCTCCCACTAAACTCTTTTGCTTTCCCATAAACTTTAAGATAGGAATTCTAACAAGGTTCGACTGCTGATGGTCAACATCAGCAGAATGTGAACTGCCCTAATAATCCTTTACCTGAAAGACTCATTGAATACGGCTTTGGGAGCTGTTATCATGCTGTCTGTGTGTGATTGTTGGAGAAGAGTTGTGGATAGAGTGAACTGTGAATTTTTATGCCACACTTTGTAACCTCCTCTGGAGGTCCTGCCAAGGAGGGTATGCGCAACCTCCTTGGAGACTTGTTTGGGTGTGACCCAGCAGTCCCACAAGCTGTTATCCCCCACCACTTCACATGCACAGGATCTCTGCTAACACCCCAGGTAACATCTGAGGTTTGAGGCCAGTGTTAGCACACTTGTCAATAAAACTTCAATTTCTTTGTGGAAACTGGTGAATAACCAGGATTTTTGGATTAATTGTAACCTTCATTGCAATGATCAGGGAATGGCTGTACAAGATTGATTGCACAACAGCCTGTTGTGGATGAAAAATAACAAAAAAAAGCAAGAATCCTGACATTGAAGGCAATACATTGGACTGATCCATACAATTTTTTTAAAAATCAGTGCAATTTTAGGGATTTTCCTGTCAAAAACTTTCCAGCCTCACGCAGTGCAAGAGACTTGTGGCATAAGCCTCTCCTTTGGAGAGCAGCGTCCCTTTGGCACACGAGGTTGGCCATTTGGCCCCAACCAAAGGAGAGGCTTATGTTAAGCTAGGTCTACCCACGGAAGCCCTGGACCAACATCAATTTAGCCAGGGCTTTTTGACTTTTGTAATCAAAGATGCCAGTTGGACTTCCCAACCTGGTTACTGAGCTATAAGAAGCTGGATCCGGCTCTTCCGTTCCTGGGAGTGTAGTTTCTTTGCCCTTTGGGGTTGGTCTGTTCTCTTTGCCTTGCGGCTGAGTTGCGGATTTTGCAATGGATGGGTTAGATGGGTTGGTGGTGGAGGAGTTTGGTAAGGGGGAGCTTGGTAGGGGGATCTGGCTAGGTGGTTGGTTGTTGTTTTGGTTCTGGCTTCCTTGTCTCAACAAGTATTTGACTCGGTTGCTGAGGGATTGGATTGGGTTGGAGTTTGAAATCTTTGGGGGGAAGCTTTGGGGAGGTGATGGTAGGGGCTCAGATAAGGTGTAATCAAGGTTCTTGGAATTGGAGTTTTTTGTGGGAAAGATTTTTGAAATGCAGAAAAAACTAAGGTTGTGAGAGTGGCTATGGAAAGGTGGTTGGCAAGGAGGATTGGTTGTGTTGTTGGTAGATGGTGATGGGGAAGCAGAGGAGTAGAGGGAGAGAGGACGTACTTCTTAGAGGCGCTTCCCCTCTACGCCTGGACCTCCTAGCGGGTTCTACTTTGCTGCGCGGCCTAAAGGCAGAGCGCGCAGCTGTTGGGGCCGGCCAGTGGGCAAGGTCCGGGCTGCGGGGCAACATCCTCCATGGACACTCTTCTACAGCCGTTCCCAAAAAGCTTGCAGTTTGGGATAGGCTGTATTTCAGAAGATTTTTTTTTTGCGCCATTGAATTTTAGCGCCTCACAACCTGTACAGATGATGGTTCAGGTTCTGATTTGGCTGCCAAGGCCTCACTGTGGGTCCAGATGCCTGCCGGCTGCCAGGAAGGGGCAGGCTGGGTGTAAGGTCTGGATATGAAACTAGAAGGAAATTCTAGTACTATTCCTGTCCTAATAAATTTTGTTAGTAAATTTGTATTTGATTTTTAAAGTTTAAAGTATTTTTAAACTTACAAAAAGGGGATTGTTGGTTAAACAATCAAAGAAAATTATAACCTCACAATATTACTTGTTAAGAGGCCTAGAGTTGAGTGTTTATCAATACTCTGAATTCCAAGGGAGGAATTGGGGAAGAGTGAATTGTTTGTTAGACAATAGATCACAAGGAGTTCGTCCAAAAAGGGATTTTGGATGAGTTGAAAATTCCTGGGCAATTTCTAGAGCAATACTTCTGCAACAGAAAGTAAGAAATGGGCAATTTTAAGGGAATAAAGAGCTGGGATATTTTAAGGGCAAAGGCTACAGGTTAAGGCTGGAGGTAGCATTAAAAGAGGAGCTCTGTTTTTTGGTTAGAATGCTAAGGTTAATAAGAGAAATGGTTGCAAATTCTGGCTTCTAGTATATAGTAGTATATATGGTGAAATGGGTGAATTTCTGAGGTTTAAGCACTCAATAAAGGAGTCCTTATATAGCCACACACCTTATGGTGGCTTACAGTGCAATTTTGCACAATGACACTGATGCTTTGGGCTTGTTTGGCTGGGAGGAAGCCATGCCCAAGGCCTTGGTTATCAGTATCCCAAAGGCTGAAACAGTTGTAACTGTAACCACGGGTACAGCTACCCAGTCAGGAAGTAATGATGCAATGCCAAGTTATTGATAGGGTTCTATATTCCCAAAGGAGACCTTTTTTTTTGTCTCCAATCCATTTTGGAGGGGTTTGTTTGAGGTATTATGATAAGTACTGGCTGAGAACAGGTTAAACTACTTGGGCCAGATTGAAATGGGCCAATTCTCAACCCTGTTGGTTTCAAACTGGACCAGGTTTGTTCTGGTGGAAGGCTGATGTAAGAGTATATTCTTAGTTTGCTCAGAGAGGTTATTAAGGTTAGGGATAAACAAAACAGGTTACATGACTAAGTGGCTGGTCAGGGTTCAGAATATGTGGTCCAAATTGGTTACTTGGTTATAGTTGCTGAACTGCAAGGTTGTACATGTTGGACAAGCCTTGGAACCTTGTTTATCTTGAGTTCGCATCCAATGAACTTTGTTTATGTCATCAGCTGATTTGGTTCTGTAACTTTAAATGTCTGTAACTCTTTGGTTATTGATTATTTTACAGAATTCTTTTTTTTGAGTATGTAGTTACACAGTGGAATGTAACTACATGAAGTTTAGAGATTGTTTGTTTGGACCTAGGTACCTGTTCATTTTTTCAAGAAAATAGATACCATGTACTGCACCAGACACCTCCCGGGGGGTAACCAAGGTACCTGTTGCACGTACCTCAGGTACCCCCCCTCTCTTTTTCACCTAGTTTCACTCCCAGAGACTGAGTCCCAAGTCACTTTATTATTATTATTATTATTTTATATATTTATTGTAAAATATCACTCACAAGTCACTTTTTTGGCATTTTTTAATATCTGTTGTAATATATCTACATCTAATTGTAAGAATCTTACTTTTCTGTTTTTTTCATATTCATTGTAAAACATCAGTCCCAAGTCACTTTTTTCATTTGTTCATATTTAATAATTTATTGCAAAGTTTAAACTATCTACAACTGTTGTGTAAGGACTGGAAGTCCTTCACTGGATAAAGAGGAAAAGGAGGCTCGAGGGACGGGCAGAAGCCAGTTATTTCTAAGACCAAACAGGATAGTTTTTATTACTGGCTCAGAGAGAAGTAGGGATCAGTTCTCTCCTGTACAATCTGAATGGAAGAAACACAAAAGAAGGAAAATGAAGATAGAAAAGGAAAACTCACCTGGCTCAGAGAGAAGTAGGGATCAGTTCTCTGCTGAGCCAGGAAGGAAGCACTGAGACGGAAAACTAGAGATATTGTGACATCTAGCTTCTAATCTTGTGAAACCCTGACAAAGGAGGGAGGGGGTTTACAGTCTCCCCTCCCATAAAAAAAATTGAAGAGAGAAGAAGAAAAAAAAAGGCAAGGAAAAGAAAAGGAAACAAGTGAACAAGGAAATCCTCCAGAAAGTGTGGCTTCTTCAGTAACCTGCAATGTCATCAGCCAAGTTGCCAGTTCAACCGGTAGAAGCCTGGGTCGCCTGGTCAATTTCGTTTTGTAAAAGCTGACTATCAAGATCTTCAAGTGCCGCCACCGCTGCTGTGCCAAGGGCTGGGAAACTGCCTTCATCGTCGAATTTGCAGTAATGACGAGCATCTTCCCTGATTGCCGCGTCCACAGTCAGACCGGCGACCCGAGCTTCAAGTGGTGTGACTTCTGCAATTCCTGCTACGCTAGCTGCACGAGCCGGAGGGCGGCCGGCCGGAGGTTGAGATGATTGTCTGGGACCAGTGATTGGTTTACTCCAGGCGCGGGGGGCCACGTAATCCAGTGGTTTGGTTGGCGTTTGGAAGTTGACAGGGATATTGATATGGGAGCGGTCGATTGGGCCGGGGCATGCTCCTGCGGCGTTACCGCAGTGTTTTTTGCAGAAATGACAAAGTCCTTGCGAGTCCAGGTACGCATGGACTCGCCAGATGAATTCATCTTGGCCTAGCGTCGGTGGTGCGTTAAGAGGTGGCTTGGCCATGGTTGGAAGTTCGGTGGGGCATTGAATTGCAAGGAAGGATGCATTTGCTTGCTTTTCAAATGGGCCGTACTTGAAGGGATTCACTTCCAATAGTTGGCGTTCGTAGATTCGATCTTGTAATGCGTCCATTAGACCATAAACGGCGAATTGGGCAAGTTTCAGATTGCCGAGTTTAGGTGTCTGATCCGCATCAAAATTAAAGAGACTCTGTAGCGTTGTGGTATGTCCATACCTTTCCATGTATCCTCACTTTTCACATCATTTTACATATATTCTTCCCAGTATTATTTCATATTCAGATTCTACACATCATTTCACCCATAGTCATCTCTTACATCTTTTCAGTAGCTCTTGTAGTTCTCTAGTTATCATCATCTCAGTATATTCATAGTTACAGAACAGTAAATTACTTTATACATACAGTACATATACAGTATTCATTATCTAGTTAAAGTATTTATGTAGCATCACTCCTTCATCATAGTACATCACCAATACTACATACTCAGCATAACCTTAACTACATACATCATATACATATTTCTCTTCACACAGCTTTGACTTTCCATCCATGATTAGCACTTGTATACACAGAACATCTATCTCTAGGTTATTTTAATTCTCATCACTCATTACTGTTTAAGACTTACATTACCCATAGCCAGGATTTCCCCAGCCATGGTGCTTTGCTGTTGTATGTACAGGTTGTACACATATATACTCTTCTCTTCCTCCTCATGTATTTTTCCCTTTATGCCAGTTTTCATATGTACCCTCTAACCATAGGCTTAGAAAGCATAAATTAGCATCACCCTTATATTCTCATCAGATATCATTGTCAGTTATATTTGCCAGTTATATATCCCCCCTTGCCAGTTATAAATCCTCAATTTCCAGTTATAAATCCCCATTTGCCAGATTATCCCATTTGCCAGTGCCATTCCTCTTTGCCAGTGTTACACCCTTGCCAGTATTATCCCATCACACCTCATTACTCCTGCTCCTCTCACCTCAGTAGGTACTACATACACAAGCTCATCAGTAATAGTAGTCTAAGATAAAGTAGAAATCAGCCACACCTCTCTTCTTCTTTTTCTTAGTGTTACACTCTTCCCATTAGCATTGTACAGGAGGGCAGCCTCATCAGCACCTGTAGTCTCAACTTACATTAGTACTAGTGTAGTTGTCTATATCCCCTCCAAGCTCTATCTCCCTGGTTGAGTAGTTCCACAGCGTGCGGGCCCTTGTGCTGTATTCGAGAAATGTTTTGGTCAATGTCATCTCAAGTTTGCGGATTTGGCGTTGTAATCCCGAGCGCCAGTTGGTGGGAAGCGCAAAGTCAAACATCCTGGTTTTGAATTCCTCCCAGGACTTGTGAAGAAAGCCCGACGCTTCGTTTGCATAGAATGACTGTAGATTAGTTTCAGCTACTAGATTCCCGAGGATCTTGATCTTGTCGGCTGCATTTCCAACACTCTTCGTTTCGAAAAATATTTGTACCCCATGGATCCAGCGCAGGAACGGTTCAGTTTCCTGGAATGGCCCGCGATAGATTGGGCCGTCGGATGTGCGGAACTTTTGTAGGTCAACCCGTCCGGGCGCTGGTTGTTCGGCTCTTGCGCCGACCTCGTTCTTGATGTTCATCGCCAGAAGCAAGTCTTCCAATCGGCGGATGCGGTCCGAGTTGGCCTGGTGGGCGTTGAGGAATAATTTTTGGTCTGCTCGACAATCTTCCAAGGCTTGCCAATGATTGTCCTGGGCTTGAGTGATAGCTGAGTGTTGGATCTTGAGCACGGCCTTGAACCATTCCTTAGCCGTGCTCATGTCGGATCCATCGGCTGTACGAGTGGAATCGCGAGTGGAGTCGGCTGGTGGTTCTTGGCCTCCGGGTGGGATGATCGTTTCCGACATGATCGTAGGAGCCAAAATCGACGATGAGGGGAGCGGAGCGACTGGGCGGTTTGAATCCTTTTTATGGCGTCTTTTCTCGGCGTTCCCAGCTTTGAGTATTGCCTCCGGATCAGATAAGGGATGGATGTTATCAGAAGTCGTGTTGGTTCTCGCTATCATCAACTCAGCCAAGTGCAAATGGGAAACTTGAGGTGATAAGTAAAAAAAACGGAAATGTGTTGTGACAAAGTTGCGGGATAATTTGAGCCCATAAATTGGTAAATCAATCGGAACAATGAAATCGATTGGAACAGTGAGATTAGTCGTAACAGTAAGTCGGAACGGCGGAACGGAACGGAACAGTCGGATTTGATCGGAACAGTACAGTTAATTTGGTTAAGGAAGGCACGGAAGTTGTTCGGAACAGTTGTTGTCGAGCGTTGTTGGGGATGTTTGGTGTGAGAAAAAAAAAGTGTCAGGACTGGAATTCCTTCACTGGATAAAGAGGAAAAGGAGGCTCGAGGGACGGGCAGAAGCCAGATATTTCTAAGACCAAACAGGATAGTTTTTATTACTGGCTCAGAGAGAAGTAGGGATCAGTTCTCTCCTGTACAATCTGAATGGAAGAAACACAAAAGAAGGAAAATGAAGATAGAAAAGGAAAACTCACCTGGCTCAGAGAGAAGTAGGGATCAGTTCTCTGCTGAGCCAGGAAGGAAGCACTGAGACGGAAAACTAGAGATATTGTGACATCTAGCTTCTAATCTTGTGAAACCCTGACAAAGGAGGGAGGGGGTTTACATGTTGAGTTTTTCCTATTCCAACTCAAAACACATGCGCGCTTCTCATCTATGTCTTGTACATTCACTCTGTGACATTCCACTGAAACCATGCTACGTACCGCAGCCTGATGAGCTAGACCACCCTAAATTCATCTCTGACTCCTTGTACCGCTTAGGGTTGGATCAGTCGCTCGTTAAAAGAAGAATTGGCCTGTTCTGATCATTCCTCAGACTCGACAAGATCCCCTCTCGGACCTCTGATCAAGACTCAATATCCTCAAGCTTTGCTCAATAAAAAACTCAAGACCTGATACTGTAAAGTATTCTCCACTCACCTTCTCACCCTCTTGCTCATCTTTCCTGACGCCTCCCTACTTGCTTTCTCTTCTCAAGACCAAATCCAGTCTCCTCAAGATTTGGAACTCAGGAAACCTTATCATCACTCATCACGACTGCTCATCGTGCTGTTTGTTATTCTCTTGATTCCTTTTTTTCTTCTTCCCTATATCTTCTTCTGTTGTTTGTTGAGGAAATCACTAACTCCTTATTTTCTCTCTCAATTCTTTTCTTCTTTCATTTCCTTAGTTGCTTCTTAAAACTTTCTATTACTTCTTCTCAAAGTCCTCTCATTTCTGATCTTACTCCATCATTAGTGGTTAGCTTTTCTTTTTCTTCTTCTTTCAACATCTTTGTCTGACTTTCTCACTCACCTGTCATTTTTTCTCACTTCAGTCCGGTTTTGGTTCTTAAGAAATTTATCATAAATTCCTCATATAACTAATTGGAAGAATCTTCATTGTCATCCAAAACCATCACCTTCCTTTTTGATTTGTTGTTAGACTTCTTGTTATCCTTGAGTCCCTGTTGCCATGCAGCCAAGGTACCTTCTTGGGTCTTGGAGTTCTTGAAGTAGAAGGCCACCATCATTTTGATTTTTGGTAGGGAAGTGAGGGGGTACCTGTTCAATTTTTCACAAAAATAGATACCAAGTACCACACCTGGCACCTCCTGGCGGGTGCGGGGAGGGTGCAAGGGGTACCCCCCAGGAGGTACCAGTTACCTGCAAAAATTATGGACAGAAAATCTCTAATGAAGTTTGTTTTTATTTTCTAAGTAAAGTAAAAAAGTTATTTTTTATTTTTAAAGGCCTTTGTGGTCATTGGCAGGCTTTTGACCATATATAATTTTATATGTAGATTTTTATGCTTAATATTAATTTACTACCAATAATATTTTTTCTTGAGCTAGTCTTGAGACTTGACTATGAGTTGTAATTATTATTTTTATCATTTATATTTTGAGGCCTATGGGTATGTATATACCTCAAGGCTGACACTGGGCCTCCATGTCATGAGCAGTTCTAGGCCAAAAACTTGTGAGGATTACAATGATCCAACTCCCACACACTCAACTCAAAAACTGTGGGAGTTGGGTCATTTTGCCTGAAGTTGGCCCTACAGGGCCACGTACAGGAGAGAGGGGCGCTAAAAAACCAAGGCGCAAAAAGAAAATCTTCGGAAATACAGCCGCTCCCAAACCGCAAGCTTTTTGGGAACGGCTGTATTCCCACTACACTTCCATTTATTGAGGCTATGGCGCGTAGAAAACGTGATATGTAACAATGCAGAATGGAATTCACAGCTTCTCTGATGAGAAGTTGAGACTGTTGTGACTTAGGTCACATGGTTTGACTCGGCTGCGGCTCAGCCAGCCGGAGGAGACTACATCTGTCTCCTCCGGGCCACACCTACTGTAATCCATACGCTTATCACCCTCTGAGTCACTACAGGTTATGAGCCTGCGATACCGGCTACGCTGAAGAAATCTCAAACTGAAGAACTATACCGGAACAAATTCTTATCTCGCCCACGGAAAAATACCGGCCTTCACACTTTAAATCTTGAAATAAACCGACGCAAAATACCGGATCTTTTTTATTATTAAAAAAAAAGAAAGAAAAAAAAACCTGACTTTTGTTTCTCTTGGATTACCTCTCACGATCACAGTGGATCAATACTCGTATCATGCTTACAATCAGATTCAACTGTTCCTTGCCGATTTGAATTTTGTTCTAGGATTTTTACCACCTGCGGGTCCGAATCCCTATCAACCCCTAACAGGTATACATCAGGTCCAATTTCCTCAAGACTTCAACCATTGTGGCCCGCATCAACATCTCTCATCAAAACAACCAACACCTGACTCACAATTTTGGAAGATGAATCACCAACGGAACAATCGAGATCAATTGGAGAAAGCTGCTCACCCTTTCCCACCGATTCATTCAGTCACTCAATGCAATCTCGGCAGCAATGCCAAGACATATACATTCCAATTTCCTCCAAATCAATGACGAGCTAATGTCTACAACCGCCAAAAGCTTAACAGGCCCCTCAAGGTTTCTCACAGTGATTTTCAGGTTCAGCCAATGTGTCAACATGGATCTCTTCACTATCCTGAAAATCCCAAGGCCAACAAGTATCCTAGCAATTGTGATAATTTGGTTGACGAGAATCCTGCTGATCACAATGATTTGATCAAAGAAAATCCTAATGATGGTGATGATCTGGCCAATGATTACTACAGCAATCAAGATGAAGCACATGAACCGGATGACATTGATCTAGATGAGATTGAATGGGATGATCAGTCTGATATGGACATCAATGCAGCTCCCAATGATCAACCAGGCACTGATCAGACATTTGCAGAAGATCTCAACAACCATCTCCTCCCTAGAACCGATTCAAACCACCAACCTGAGCCAACTTTTGATTTGAAAAACTACAGCGCTTATGATCTAAACTGCTGGGCCAGCACCCTGTTGGCAGATGAATTTGAGCACCTTCAAATCATGGGACCTGACGCTAGAACCAAATCCTTCCGACAATATGCAACTATACACATTGATCAATTGAATCGACCTCATTCCCCACTCAATTCTTTACCTCCCCAATCAAATCAAGCACTCCACAACCAAAAAATCTACCCAACACCCAATGAAATCAACAACCATTGTATTTCTTCACATCAAATTGAACATCACCCTGATCAATTCAAACCCTCTAATTACTATGAACACTGCAACTACTGTGCCTCTGATCTCGATGAGAATCCAGAGAACAAATCAGTTTTAGATGACAGCGGCTTTAATGGTGTTTTTGACAACAGTGGTTTTGATGATGGTGGATACAACAATTGTGGTTTTGACAATTGGAAATCTGATGATGGCGGATTTGACAATGGTGGTGTAAGACTCAAAAAGTGGTTGTGAGACCCTTTTTTCTGAATGGAGAAGGGGATGGTGGAGGTGCAAGCTCTGCCCTTCTATACCATCAGATAACAAGACCCACCAAGCTCAGCTTGGCAAGTTTTAATCAAGTGATAGGGTAAGTTCAGGAATGAGTTTGTGTGATGCTGAGAAATGAGTTTAGTGGTTATTGGTGTTGGTAAGGTTCTGTAGGGGTGGTATGTCTTTGAGTGAGTGGTACTAAACTGTGACTGATGAATAATACACTCCGAGACAACAACTGGGAGGAGAGCCTCCTTATATAGAAAATAGTGAGGGGATTTAGCTCCAGGGCAGCCAGTAATGAGTGATTTTGGCTGGCCTGGGCTATTACATGAGGTATTTTTAGCTACATACAAAATTTGAAAGAGCGAATGTGATTGGTCAGACATGTACAAGAGTTGAAGTGGTAATCCAAACAGCTGAATGAGTGGTTCTGATTGGTCAGGTTCTGATGTGTTTACAAGTGAGTGTGGTGGTGTAAGCTGCAGCTGTCATGCATGGAAAATACACTAATTTAGGTTGATGGTTGAAATACTTGTGATATGTTGTCCATCGTGGGATAATTGTTGATCCAGATGTGTTCCAGTGACGCCTCCGTGGTGACCAAGGGTGAATTTATCCGTAGAGTCCAGTGCTTGAGCCGTATGGTGTGATTTCTGAGAGATTGTGGATGAAAAATATGAAGTAATATATATATGAGAAAAGAAAAGGAAAAAACTTTGAATTTTCACATTTTTGACTATCACAGCGGCTCTGATGATGGCGGATTTGACAATGGCAGCTCTGACAATGGTGGCTTTGACGATGGCGGATTTGCCAATGGCCGTTTCAACAATGGCGGCTTTGACGATGGCGGCTTTGACGATGGCAGCTTTGACGATGGTGGCTTTGACAATGGTATTTTTGATGATGGTTATGGTTCCACTTGTTATTAGCCAGTTTCACACTACAATTCTCTTCTCCACTTCACAACATTTGATTTTTTGATTTTTTTATCTTCAACCTACTCATCATTTCTTATGTGTTATTTCATTTCAATTATTTATTCTTTTTATCTTTCAGCCTCCTCAACTTTCCCACACAATTTTTTTACATTAAGATTTATCTTATTGTGATGATTTATTTCTCACAACTTTCTTCATTTTCTTTCTAATTTTTCTCAGCTTGTATGTAGTTAGGACCTCCCCGGCAGGTGTCTTGGAGCCTTGCCGAGGGGGTGGGTGTTGTGACTTAGGTCACATGGTGTGGCTTGGCTGCGGCTCAGCCAGCCGGAGCAGACTACATCTTTCTCCTCTGGGCCACACCTACTGTAATCCATACGCTTAGAGCATCTCCACCGTGGGCCCTATATTGGGTCCCTATCCCACATATAGGGACCGCGAGGCCCAAAACCACAGCCACCGTGGCCCTTATGTGGGGCCCTATAATAGGGAAAATGGCTGAAAGTCCCTATCGAGCTGTATGTATACAGACTCAATAGGGCCTGGCTGATCAGCCCTATGCCACGTGAACCTTCCGACATTGGAAGTTTTCACGCATCCTCAAGTACAAAACAACTCCGACCGATTGGCTTTCACCGACCATCAAGGCTGATACACCCGCTAGCAACGGTGGGCCGCTACACTAACCGTAGCGGTTAGTGTAGCGTAACGCAGCGGAATTGCTGTTAGCGATTAGCGTAGCGTAGCAGAATTCCGCCACAACACCGCTAACGCTACGCGTGTGGGCCGCAAAAAAGGGCCTACTACGCTGCGCTACAGCCGTTTTTAGCCGTTTTTGGCCGCTTTTTCCGCTAAAAGCGCTGTAGCGCAGCGAAAAAACGCTAAAAAACCGCTAACACTACGGTTTTTGGATGAAAAAAAAAAACGCCGCTACGCTACGCTTTTTGGGCCAAAAGCGTAGCGGCCCACTGCTGCCGCTAGCGGTGGAAGCTCGCAAATAGGGCCTGCGGTGGAGATGCTCTTATCACCCTCTGAGTCACTACAGAGACTACGTGTGAGGCCGTGGTGCGGCGAGTTCAGGCCTGTAACATACATGTTACAACACCTTTTTTTTAAAGGGCTATTGATATCACATACCGCACTATAATCTAATGATTTATCTATCTAAATCTGTATTCTGTAAGAGTATAACCTGTAACGTGACAAATTCGGTACGCTTGTAAATGTAGTAGACAGTTGGTGGAAGAAATACTGAGAAAGCAGGAAAAAGAAAAGAAGAAAACGTAGAGAAAAACAGAAAGAGAGAAGAAAAGAAAGGGAGAAGAGAAACAAGGAGGAAGGAGAAAAACCAGACAGAGATTATTAAACTAGCGTCAGAGCTCGAAGCATCCCTTCCTAGGCCTATCCCACCAAGAGGTTATAGTTTTCGGCAATGAAGTAGCCCACACTTCTGCCAGAAAAGTAAAGCGGGTACTGGTATTACTCCCCCTGTAATGCCAGTAACGCTGTGGTCTTCAAGGATTTGGAGAAGGAACTTCTGACTCATTGGCATGTACATACATGGCGAGATATATGGCGTGATAGAGGTAGACTCAAGAAGAAGAAACAAAAACCAGAAGAGGAAAATCACAGAAAGAAAAGGAAAGCTGAGAGAGAGAGATAAAACTATTAAGTGGTTAAGGTAACGTGCATTGGAAGGGAAAAGGAAAGGACATAAGTAAAAAGGGTGGAACTGGAAGAATTGGGGAAGAGTGTTCATTATTTGGGAGCCTGATAAGTCGCTTTATCGTTTTCAGTTGAGTCATATGTCTTG